GGTTCATAATTTTGAGTGCCACCCAGCCCTGGACCAAGTTGTTACATTCTTTACGTAAGGAACTGAGAGACGAATTGAACACAGTAGGGGAAGTGCACAATCTATTTTAATAAGCTCTTTATTACTGATGGTGCTCAGTACTATGCCCAACGGTTTCTGCCGTGAAATTGGGGTAAATAACAGTCCGAGTAGATTACAAATCGATGTTGTCGTATCTTTGTTTTTTACCGCGGATGGAGACAATCAGGGATGTAAGAAATTTCGAAAGTAATTTGACACCATCATGGTAGATTCAGGGTGATTTCAGATCTCATGGAAGCTCCAAAAATTTGGCAAGGATTGTTTGTCATCAGAATGAAAGCGGACTAGTGGTGGTTCTGGCGATCAACATGTTTAGGTGATCATCATGTCGGCCTATATAGTGTTTCGCTACAGACCTAAAACAAACGGGATGCCTACATTGTGCACAGTAGAAACCGAGATATCTGATAGAGGATGGGTGTATGAAGTTCATATTCAACTAGAAGAACTTCAGATGGAAAATTTGAAGGAATTATTTTACCTGTATAACTGACGCCTTGCTGAATCAGCAATCAATTGAAGCTCGTATCCTGTTGGTCGAATTACACGGTGACAGTTTCCACGTCCAGCTTGCGCAATACATCTAATTTGGTTGTTGAGCTTGCATTCCGTAACCCTAGGCCCGTTTCATACGTTTCATCAAGCTTTTCGGCACCAATGCGACACAGCTCTCGAAAGCATCTTATTCTCTCGCTTCGGTGTTTACCGTCTCATCGAGAATCGTAATTTAGAGCTTCTGTATCGGAAGATGAGGTAATTTAGATTTCTTCAAATGGAACCGGAGATCTTGGTTTGTTGGAACACTTACAATAAGGGAAGTGTCTAGAAGGATGGACCTGTAGTTATAGTGTTCGAATCCCATCTGAATATCTGCCTGTTCTTTGTGTTACGTGATTTGCTGTAATTTTATGTGAATAACTCCTGCACGAGGATGAATCAGTTCATTAATGTCGCTGACGATTGCTGCCCGTGCGTAGTGTTCCTGGAGATCGGCAAAGAGTATCCATTACAACTTCCAAGATCACACATTAAATTCAGGCCCTGGTGCTCCAGTCTCCTCTGATGGTAATGATCCAGTTCTTAATTTGACTACCAAGACACGAACTTCATCCGGAATGCAGCTTTTGGGAGAGTTCCTTAGCGGGATACCGTATACCATGATCGAATCACGGTGTTGCAGTAATGTAGAAGGCCGTTAGCTGGAACAGCAGTGCCGGCGGACTTCCTCGGTGGATAATGGGTTGTATCACTTTAGGTTCAGGATGTGCTGCAGACACCAGGGGTCGAAACACTCAAGTTTTTGGAAGTTTTAAGCTCTTGCTGAGCACATCTTATAATCATGATAGTGGACTGACGGTTTCTCTATACATCCACCCTATCACAAAGGCTGATTTCCTTGCGTGTTCATAGTGTTATTCCGGGTTGTAGAAAAGATCCCCTTAAGACGGCAGCGTGCAGCGGAATTTCATTTCTGACTTGGTCTTTGGGCTTTGTCGTACACCTGAGGTATTTGAAAGCACGGAAGAATTCTATTGACTCGCCAGGTATTGTGATCGGGTATTGTGCTGGGATCATTGCGGTTTTTAGTGTTGGATGTCTTAATTTCAAAGGTCAGTGTAAACGAATCTCCTAACATATCTACTATCCCCGACTGTTGGAGGCCGATCACAATCATACTGATCCCCAAGACATCCAAATCTTCTATCCTCTCCAAACGTTTTTGTCCCATAGCACTGACATCTTCAACTCGTAAATTGACTGAAAAGGCTGTCCTCAAACAGTGTATACACATTCGCAGTGATCCGTTACAGTTTGCTTACAAGCCTAATAGATCTACCTCGGACGCAGTCTCCACCCTTATTCATTTTATCACTGAGCCTTCGAACTGGACTTCTCTTCTGCATTTGATTTCATTCCTCGATCTAAGTTGTTACAAAAAACTTGAAGCGTTTGAATGCCCCAAGCACTTGTTAGCTTCGCTATTCAACTATTTTACTGATAGAGTACAAACTACTAGATTGGGGAAGGCTTCATCTAAACCCTTAGTCAACAACTCCGGGGTTCTTCAAGAAGCCGTGATATCCCCATAGTTATTCTCCACTTATATTTGTCATATTTCTTGTGCTTCCCCCGCACGAATTTTGAGATATGCAGGTGACGTCGTGTTGTGCCAACCCATTTCTTACATTGATCTAAGCTCCTTCACCGATAATCTTGATCAAATTCAGTCATTCTCGTCTTCATCGGGGCTAACCCTAAACCCCAGTAAATGTGTTGAGTGTTTGTATAATTTTGCTCGCTCCCCATATCTGGCAGATCCCACAGTGATTAATAACAATCCTTTATCCAGGATGAACTCTGTCAAATATCTTGGTGTAACCATAGATAGCAATGTTCATTGGTCAACCCAAATCCACAACTGCATTGGTAAACTGCGGCGCCTATCATTTCAAATACGAAAGCTCNTTCTACTTTTGTTTATCAATGTGTTTTCCCCGTCTTACTCTACTCTTCCGCAGTTATTTTTCCTGGTTTACTCAAACAGGATTTCAAAGTCTTACGTCGCGGTCTAATCATTATTAGTTGTGTCTCTTCCATTCCTGTGAATGAATTAGCTGTAAAGCTTTCAGAATGTCACGTATGTTCCTGTGTGAAGTTTGGTGAGAGGATTCTCACAGATCCTGACCACCCATTGCACGCAGACCTGACATGTTGTTGTTCCCATCATTCAACACACTCCCACTTCCGCAAAATTTCATCTCGAATTGACGATTACCGCAGTTTACCTGTACCATATCTTGCTCGTCTACTCAGAAACAAAGTGCGGACAATAAGTGAACTTTGTCTTTATCTTGGATTGTGAAATGTCCCTATGTCTGTAAACATTTTCTCCCAGTTTATTATGTACATTGTGACGGTTGGCGCGTATGATTTTTAATTGAAATGTGAGCTTGCAAAAGTTATACACAATACAATACGATTGAAAACAATCTATCGACGCAGTCGAGGAATGGTTTGTATGTCTTCGAAAACGATAATGTCATCCGCAAATATGAGGTTCGCTATCTACTGATACGGCTCAAATTGCACCCCGGGGTCATCATTGTGGATCTAGTTCACCGTTATGTCGTATTGGCGCCATGTGATTGAACGCGGTCCTCATAGAAGTGAATTCTAAAAGCTTTATTGCTGCCTGTTAAGCATTTTGTTTTCAGAACCTTTTTAATCTTCCAAGGAATCTTTAGTTCGCTTAGCGAACACAGACTAAATGTCTTTGGTTGCGAATTTATCGTGTGCAGCGTTCACATCGTCAACTAAGCTATAACGTTGTATGTTCACTCGTGGAAAAGCTTTCTCGGGTTCTTGACTCATTTACATTGACTAACTACTTTGTATTTAGGTTGTTGTTGTTGTTGTTATAACTCGTCGTCATATAAGCTATGAACGCTTGTCAGGTAGAAACGGGACGACTCGATGACGGAAGCAAGGACCACGCAATTACGCACAACTACATACGACGCATGGCCCCAACTGAGGAAGCAGATAGGAGGCAAACGTTTCAGGCAAGTTTTATATTTTGTTCCACCAAAGGACAAACGGCCGCAGGGCGGGGCGGGGNTGTAGTGGACAACTCGTCTGTTCATAGACATTTTCGCAGTCGGCCAAAAGTAACCTTTGGAATGAACTGGAAAGTTCAAAGTTCTGAGGAAAACTTACCAATCAGGGGCGAGCACGGCTAGTGGTGATAAATAGGGTTTTATTCCGCGTAAACTTTCGAGGTTTGAATTAAATAGAAATACATAAAAAATAGTCAATTAGAAGAGGAAAATTGCCTCTTCCCTATAATTAATGCTCAATTGTTTTTCTTTGTTCATTCTTAAAGATACCTGTAAATTGTGCCTAACCTCCTAACGTATTTAATTTAATTAGGTACTGGCAATGTTCCGTTATTGGGTTCACTGTGGCCGGTTAGTCCTACTGAACGCGCGCGGATCCTATTGCGGTCAAGTACAGATCGGTCGTATGTGTTCATCGTCGATCGGTACAGTTCCATCTAACAAACTTGCCCCCGACGATGGATCTGATTGGCCCCGACTGATCCGAGATATAGCTCCTGCCGGATCTGCTCTGTTTCGTGAGAATGACAATTTCTCCCCGGTTGTCTTCCCCGATCCATTATTTGAATGGGACAGAGTTCAACAGAGTCTGGTTGCACGTAAACGCGTGTCGGGGATACCGGTAAAAGATCTGGTATGGGTAACACTCATAGTAATGCAATGCATTTGTATGAATTCTATTTTTGATTCTATCTGAAATTATTTTCACGCATACTCAATTAATTTGTTCTATAAAATGGATTGATTTACGTTGTTGATCCTAAATCATTGCAAATACAAAATATTTCCCCGAAATTTTCGTACAAATCGAAATTGATAAGTACTGAAACTTCTTTCTTTGTGTGCAGATGACACTATCCGGCGAATCGGCTTGTAGATGATCCGTTTAACTCCCTCTTCACGTTTATTCCCGCCGTCGTTTCTTCTTTTTTGTTATCTCACAATCTTCGGTTGACTGTGACCCTATTCATAAGTAATGAGTGTGTATTTGTTGTAGACCACTTCTCATACGGTTCTGCATGACATGCATACAAGCAAACACACCTGATTGGTCTATTGAGTGTCCGATCGCAAACAGAGTCATCAATCACAATGACAAGGAATTGGTGGAATTCAATCGATGACATTCTCCTCATGAATTTCCGTTCCCCCGGCTTAGTGGGCCAATCTTTGAAATCCTTATGACTTCCTTTTCTCTCTCTCTCTCCTCCCGCATCTCATCATGTGTTGTCCATTTGCTTCCATCTCTCTAACTTGGAATTACTATTTTTAAATTACACAGCACGGTTGATTGAGTACACTCCATTGTGTACGGCCGGCAACCTAAGTTGTGCTACTTGGATCAACAAAGCATGTGTGGTCCCGATAGGACAGGATTTGTATCGAACGGGACGACAGCGCAACTGCCAACCGTCTAAGTTTTGTTGTGGTTCTATCGTTTGAAACTGAAAACTGTTGTATAACCCGAACCATACAAATTAAACTACCGGGGCCATTTGAAGTCCCAGTTTGAGTATCTAGGAGTCTGCTTCTTATGAGGCGAGCATCATCTGGGCTGGTATTTAGTGCGTTCATCCTGTCTGGTGATCAAACGTTAGTTATCTGTTTCCCATTTCAACGGAACACGAAAATCGGCGTGGACAGTCGCACTGCACACACTTTGACGCTGACAACAAGCACTATTGAATTGTTTGTGTTTCGAAAGGTGGTGCTTAAATCGAGAATTTTTGTGAAATATTTTGCAACGATGAAGCCAGTTGCATAGCCATCAAACGACAAATCGAGATTCAACTGTACGGTCAAGCTTCTACCTCAAGCTTCATGGTTCTCCTGACACAAGTCATCGTCAAAACATTTTGAGCGTAACACTTCCTGTGTAAGTAGTCAGATATTGCAAATTCATTGGGTGTTATTCACTAATTATAAATATTTGCGTAATGTTTCTTTCCGTGGATCATGCTCACAGTTCGCTACAATCAGTCCGGAGTGTTTTGAAGTGGGAGCTATATTTTAAAAGATTTCGCAGAACCTGGCTTTTTTAATTAGACCTTACAACGCGCTATTGGTGGCACCTACCCACTATTCATTGAACCAGCGAAACATGTACAGATATGTTTCAGCCAGTCAAGCTGATTGATATAGTTTCTGTTAACACTCACGCCCGGCATAGACAGTTCTAACGGTGGGATCGATTTCCGGTCCCCTGAAAACTGACACGTCGTTTTGCCTCCCGTGCATCGTTTTTTTAAAAATTACATTCCGAATCAGGTCCCCCTTTGAACAGAGTCCGATCATCAGTTCATTCTTTCAGAAAAGTAGCTTTTCTTGTTTTCTTTCTCGTGGTCCCCCACAGGAACAAATGGGTCAAGAGATCAGTAGTATCCTTCGACAATTAGATTCTTTGGAAGAGTCGCGTTCGTACATCAAAGCTCAGTTCAACTCGGATCAGGTAAGCCTTTTCACAATACTTGATTGTTTGTGTGTATTGAACTGTTTGTTTTTGTTTCACCTTCGTATCCCTGCTATTCAAAATAATCGTGCCAGCAAAATCTCAATCTGGTATACATGATCACGTTTTGTGAACTTGAACAATAATCGAATAGGAATCTCAGATACGACAATTCCTTCCATTATCTTAATTAAAAAAAGCGAATCAATTCCCATTGAAACTCAGCGGATGTTGCCTATATGATCCAGTTACATACTGGATTCATTGGCCGTTCTGTGCTAAAGCTTTTGTTTACGTTGCAGCATCCTCTGTGAGGGATTTCGCATATTTTATATTTAACTCACAGTTACTTGTGAGTAGTAGTGCTACTGATTTTGAATTGAACTGACCATTTTTGTGACTTTATTTCCAGGCACATTCATCAGTTCTTATGTAGTCATCCGTGGTCAGTTAAGTATCCGGAGATCACCAGAATCGAGTTTCGCTCTTGTTGGAGCTCATCAGTAGTGCATATCCACCGTCCCATCCGTGATTTGAACTCCAGATTATAATGACTTTGTTAGTGTTGTTCCTTTATCTAATCAAAAATGCCGCTAGTCCTTGTGCTGTCTGCTTTTAAAGCACTGGTTTTTCTGCGGTTTTCCACAGGTCTTCTTTAGGTGAGGTAATTTGGCGTAGTTGTGTGCTCTCACTTCACTGTATATTAAACCTGTATATGGATTGGATTTTGTAATAATTAAGGTCCGTTGTGTCCCAAAAATAATGTGGCTGAAAAGAGTGAAATAGTTTTGTGCAGCTATCGGGTAATTGCTCATGCATATTCAGTTAGATTGTTTATCGTTTAAGTTAAGAATCTATGCCATTCAGATGTTTGTGTGCGAGCTCTTAGATCACAATTCGTCCATTACCCTGGTATGCCTTCTATTTGCATCAAAATTTGTTACCAGCAAACCATTGACCTTTTCATTGAGCTTTAAAACAGTACTATGAACTAGTCGTTGAATGACCTTGATGTTTTAACACCATAACCACATCGCACTGTAGAAAAAGCATGGAGCATTTTGATGGTACTCCGGAGACACAACGAGAAGCAAGTAATTCAAAATGCATATTTACGAGCAAGCCATTTGCTTTCTTTAGACAACTACCAAGCGTGATTTGCCGTTGGCTTCAATTAGGCCGCAGACCATCACGGAAAGCGCGATATTAAAAGCTCAACGTGATCATCCAAAGGTCATTATGGATGTATACTGAACCGTTGAGTGGCCTCAGTAGTATTTCGTGGACTGTGTTTGCTCTATTTGATTGCATTAGCTACCTGCGATTTATTGTTAGAGTACTCGGGGCATCGCTTAAGATGATGGCCGTATGTGCAACTCATTCTGCCCTCGAAATCCATGCAATTTTTTTTCAATACCCAGGGGTGTGATTAAAATCGTTTTGTATCCTTCAGGCGTATTGTCTCGTATAAAATTGATTTAACCAAATCAAAGGCTATATCTGCATACCAGCTCAGTATAGAAACAGAATGAAACTGGGTTACATAATCCCGCTCGCAGAGGTTCGCGAAAAAGTTTTGCAAACCGGAGATGCCCTAATAGTACTTTAAACACCATTACCCTTCAAACTGAATTTCTGTTGTCCNTGGACATCAAACTGATTAATAAATCCAAATAGGGGTGGTTGTACGTGATCCGGACTAAATGCAAAAGCGCAGTTTAAAGATGACAACAAATCTCTTTACAATTCGTCTCACAAGTTCCTTAAATTGTGACTGCTCACTGCAATTTCTCCCAGTCGTTCTGTACAGAGTCACACACGCGCACACAACTATCTGTCAAACTCGATTCGTCAAAACGTGTCCGGTTTACGTCGCAGATCACCGGTTCCATTTAAATCATACTAATATACAGACACATCTCCACAAATCGAATTCTGTAATGTAGTCGGTTTTGTCGCTTACGTGAGACTCGGAATCCGGGAACAAGTACTACTATTACAATACTACTTCACAGCTGCTGATCACTGGGCAAGATGGTTGAGATGGGTCACTTTTTATGCCCGCTTTCCTTGTTCTATCCTGAATAATGTGTAAAACCCTGGATTACGGTAGTGTAAGGCTTCGTTGCTGATACGAAGTTGTATATCAAGTCCGAACTCACTCCTACCCCCACTCACCCCTGTACTCATTTTCTATCAAGTGAACGGTAACTTGTAACCAAATCGTCAAGAGTTGGAGAATCATGATTTTGGTTGGATTTTGCATTCATCCAACAAATCATAACTTAAGCATACACACACACACTCAAAATGAATGGTATGTTTGCGTATCTGTGTGTAGTAAGCCAGCTCTGATTCCTGTCACCCAAAGTGCCCAGTCAAAGGATGTCGTGACACACACACACACACGAGCACTTCCTTATTATCATCGAGTGGAATAGTATGCCGACCTCTTCGTTTGTCAGTCACTGAGTGAATGAACAGACGATCCGCAACCTGTACTCAGTTCTCATCCGATGTCATACTGTTTGTGCGCGCGTTTGTAATCAGTTCACTCTCTACCGTTGGTCAGCATTTTCCATCTCCTCACACGCACTTTCAAGTGAATGCACACACACTGCTGGCGCTGGTGCTGCTGCTATGATCACTGTTATTAGTTTACTAACCAAACGTTACCGTCTCTCTTTCCGGGTTCTTATGTCTCTCAGTCAATTAATATCATGCCAGTTTGTGGACCGGATTCAACAGAATGGCTGCGTGAAGTCGGTCCCCCCCCCAAAAAAGAAAAAGGAGCGGGGGGGGGGGTAGGTGATCGGTTTCCGAAGAAGCATTGAGATCAGGTGTTTTGTTATTTTGGTGACTGAAGTAAGCGTGTCGAAAAAAACTACCGTAACAGCCAAATGAAAATAAAAAGGCGAGTTTCGATAAAAAAGGTTTGGAGTAAATCATTTTATTATTTATACTCGGGGACTTTCTGGAGAGTGGAAATTCTGATGGTCATATTGAAAGAAAGAAAAATAATCATTTTGGCGAATTAGAAGAATTGCTGTTCTATCGTGCAATCTTAGTGTTAATATTTGAACAGTTTGCGTATTCGGGTGGAGAAACTGTTTCGGACGCAGAGGGAGAATGTTGCAACCGCCGAAAAAGATCGGTGAAGGACTGTCTGTTATCTTGTCTAGCTAGGACCATGAACGATTCGTCGGTTGGTCATATTTCACGAATTAGCTGTCCTAGAGCCGCAGCGGGTAAAATACTATGCTGCGCCTAACCCCGCCACCATCACCCATCGTCCCATTTTATGTATCACCCCAAGCAGTTTTTGTATTACGGCGACCCGCTTCCAGAAAGTTTATTGTACATTTTCGTACTTGATAAACAACAAAGAAGTTAAAACATTTGAGTTGCCTACATTTGTCGTTTCTTTATCCGTGATTGTTTTTTCCTCTAGTGGAGACAGTGGTTTTGGATCGGTCGGGATAGGGTGGGAGTGTCAGAGGGAGTTGCAGAGTTACATGTGAAACAACTTTCGGATGTTTTCCCGTAAAATCTCTGATCATCCGGAAAACACACCGGTCCTTTGTTGTTGGGTCTAGATTTTCAACATTTCGGAGAGTTTTCTTTTGAAAAATAATTCACTGGAATTACCAGATACTAAAAGAACGTGTCTCCTTTCCTTCCTCCCTGCTTGCTGCCATCCCAACATCACTTTCTTTTCTCCCTTAAAGAATGACGAAAATTTGCGCAATCAAGCTCGACTTTTACGAATCAAACGAAAAGACCTCAAGGTTAGTCAGTGAATCCTCTAACCTCTGTTCAGAATGAACTCTTTTTTATTGTGCTCTTCCGGTTATCCCGAATGTTTGTTCTCTACTCTTTGTTCTAGGCCGCTCTTCACGAACTGACATTACGATTCCAGAAGGAAGCTCTCGGTTTGCCGAATTACATACATGAAGATTACGTAAGTTTATCTCGTTTAAGTTTATTCACATTGTTCCATGATATAGACGGTTATCCCATCATCTTGCAGTTTGTCTGTTCTAACTCCGTGTCTGTGGTCCTATTTTCCCTCTTTTTGATTGAGTGTAGTTCCTTCACCGAATACTCATAGTACGCCTTTTTTGTGTATAAGAGGAATCTAATTAATCACAACAGTAATACTGTGAGTGGTGGAACTAATTATCTGTTCGTAACAGTTGCACTGATACTCCTCTTACACCGAGATTAAACCATTGAGTGTTTTATGTGTGAGCTGTGAAAAGACCGGTAGCCTCGGTGGGATTTGAACTCATGTATGGATGGTGCCTCGGCTGCGTACACTGCATCAACTGCTCTGTCATACCAAATAGATAGCACTGATTTTTAACATTCGGATCATAAACGCGTATGCGGTTTCCACGCGTCGGCTTGAATCCAGCGGAGGCTACTGATACTCCGCATTTAAAATATGAAACAGTTATCTTCTCTTATCAACCAAGCGGCATAATCTGATCAATTCTGTATGAGACGCCTATATGCAAGCTTTACGATGCCACCAGACAGTGCCGGAACGAGACAAATTGTTTATCTGAAGAACAGCATTTAATAGGGGTAAATCAGATTATACAGAACGGAACATCTAATTTGCAAAAACTGGTTAATATTTTCGTGGTCGGTGATCGCCAGCCTAACGGTCTGTTTGTCTGTTCTGTGGTTGCAACAGTAAATTCTTTAATCCACTCGCGGATACTGTGGGAATCCAACAACCGGTTCTTGGTACGTGCAGACTACTAACAAATGTGAGTAGTTCCTCAGAGCACAAGTACTTAGCTCTTGTGAAGTGCCTATACGTTCGTTAAACATTAGTATGCACATATCAATGCGCACAGTAATGCTGAGGATATTGTCCTCAGAATATCTGATAAGATGGAAAGTCAGAGTGAACAAAATCTATGCGTAGTCGATGACTCAATCGAAGGCATTTACAAATAGAACCAGGAATTTGACTTCATCCATCGGTTAACTTATCCGTATGTACGTAATTACGGAATGAAGGTCTCTGTGTCTTGTCTGTCTCCACCTCTCTGCTCGACGTTTGATACTCACGGTAAATTTCATTTGGAGACATAGGTCACGTTTACAGGATGTGCATCAGTTTACAGTATTGCACCTCTTTCGTGACCGGTTATCAATTTAAAAATCTGGGGTGAATTCTTGAAACATTTCATCCACAAGCTAATCCGTGATTATTGATCGTGTGCGTTGCCTTCTCAATGCCAATTTGACTGTTTCGATTTGTTCCACATTAAATTGTGATTATTCTATCCGGCCTTATAAGGCTTGTTTGGGCTTAGTGATCCCGACTACCATCACTATCGGTTCGATGTCACTCCCGTGTCAAAGTCTCATATACCATCAATTTATGCATGAGATGCATTCAAGTGTACAAAGTGATCGCAGTTCAGGTTTTTCTATCATGTAGCTACGGGATCAATCATGTTTTGACAAAACACTCTAGAGCTGTCGCTGCGACTTCATATCCAAACTGGTGGTGCGTCTATGTGCGTGTACATTCATTTTCATATCCAAAACTTACTGCGGCTTTTTTCATCTCGATCGGAAATCATAAAACACATGTAATTAATCTGCTGCATGAGTAATACTCAATTCCAACTAGCTTCTTATTGTGCACCACATGGCTGTATCCTCGCCCACTCATTCTCCGCCCTCGTTTGAAGTGTGTGATTCGAAAAACATGATAACACTAGTGTTATAATAATGCTTTACGTTTTTCCGTTTCTCTAATCAGAATATATGGCTAATCTGTATTGTATGATAGTGTGACAGGTAAGCATGATGCAGCTTAATTCATTGTATAAAGAACACGATATACTTATATAATTAGGATTTGTTATCAACAGTAACTAAAATTCACCTAATGAACGAAAACTCCACATTGATCGATAGACTGGATGATGGCTGATTCTGGAACAATCCTTGTTTCAATCGTTTATTGCTCGTCAACCTCTCCGGATATACACCTTAGAAAGTGATTGTTTTTTGCTCCAGTTTGACTTTATAGTGAGCGAACCAGTTCTCTCGCCGACCTGGCAGAAAGTTTGTTTGCCGGTTGTCATGACTACATCCCGGATACATGTATGCTCATGTGTGTTCGTGATGGAGAGAAGAGGAGACAGTTTTCACTGCCTTTACTCCTGTTTTCTTATCCGTAGTTCCTAGGGTGTGTGCTGTTGTCTTTCTTGTCCCTTTTCTCATCTGCTAGGGACAGATGATCACATTTCACGCACAAAATGTGCTCATCGTTCCTCCCTTCCGTCTCCATTAATCTCTTATTCTGCTCCTTTTTGCTTCTTTATCGAATCGCTCTCTCTTTCTAATGATAAATTAGAAATAACGAACGACCACCGCCGTAACGTGGATACAATTGTTACGCTTGAATCCATTTTGTGCGTGTTACACTATTGACACTGTATTATCCATTCCGTTTTTCCGCTTGTGTACACCGCGGTCCTAATTCGCTCCAAGCGAATCCACCACGAGGTATGCCTCTTTCTGTCCGTCTGTCTACCCCTGCTTTCGTCAGGCTGTCTGTCAGTGGGTCCGGCCGGTCAGAAAACTCTCTGTATAGATTTTGTTTATTTATCTTAGATGTATTTATTGTTTACTTTGTCTGGTCAATCCATCGGAATTAAAACCAATGAGAGCACTGTTCATTGTTCGCTGGGCTCCTTTTAAGCGTGATCGATTTTTCGCTTTACTCACATATTTTTCGTTCCCACGGTTTCCTATTATTATCCGTTAAAGCTACATATTTTCTGAGCAAACAAATTTGAATATTCGACTTGTGTAAAAAAAGTGCGTTCTTCATAC